TGGATCTGACCACTGCCCTGTTCTTTTGTAGATACGACAGTAAAGGATGAGGAAGAAATAAAGTGGGGGATGGTAATTTCGTGTGGAGCCTTTCTGGCTTAAGGACCCTGAAAGTGCAGCCATCATTGAAAGGGCGTGTAGTGAAAGTAACAGGGAGAACCTCTTTTCTATTCTATCAAAGTGTAGATCTGAGTTGCTGGGCTGGAGTAAGAGAAAGTTTGGAGATATAAAGAAGAAAATTGAGAGAATTGATAACTTGCTCAAAACTTTCAAATATAAACCAAAAACAGATCTGGTTCTCGAGCAAAGAAGGGCTCTGGAAGCTGAAAGGAGTGAGTTGATCCAACAAGAGGAGGAATTGTGGAAACAACGTTCAAGAGCAGACTGGTTAAGAGGGGGTGACAAGAATACCAAATTCTTTCATACGAAGGCCACTGCCAGACGCAAGAGGAACACTATAAGAATGTTGAGAAACTAGAATGGCAGATTATTCAAAGGGCAGAAAGAAGTATCAATATGCATCTATGATTACTACAAAAACCTTTTCAAGAAAGGTAATGCTCCTGAGACAAACCATGTGGTTCACGCTTTGAAAAGAAAAGTCACTCCTAATATGAATAGCATGCGGTTAAGGGCTGTTAGTAGTGAAGAAATCAAATCTGCCCTTGACCAAATGGGTCCTTTTAAAGCCCAGGGTCTGATGGGTTCTCTGCAGGTTTTTTCCAAAAAAACTGGAATACCATTGGTCCAAGAGTTGTAGAGACAGGGCAGAACTTTTTCAATCAGGGTGAACTCCCTATGGAGCTAAATCACACCCTTATTGCTCTCATTCCTAAGGTGAAAGTCCCTAACACAGCTAAGGATTTCAGACCTATTAGTCTGTGTCGTGTGGTCTATAAGATCATTTCTAAAGTTTTGGCAAACAGACTTAAATTGATTTTGGATGAGCTTATCTCGGAGGAACAAAGTGCCTTTGTCCCGAGAAGGTACATTACTGATAATGTGATTGTTGCGTTTGAATGTTTTCAGTTCATGAAGAGAAGAGAGAAAGCTAAGGATGGTTTCTTTGCTGCAAAACTCGACATGGCCAAGGCCTATGATCGAGTGGAGTGGGATTTCTTGGAAAATGTGATGAAGAAGCTCGGCTTTGATGAAAGATGGATTGGTCTCATTATGAATGTGTTTCCACTGTAACCTACTCGATTCTGGTGAATGGCCATAAGACCGGAAGTTTCACTCCATCTCGTGGACTTAGACAAGGTAATCCCTTGTCCCCTTATTTGTTCCTATTGTGTGCTGAATGCCTCACTTCCCTAATAAAAAAGTGGAATCGGAAGGAAGGCTACTATATCACATCTTCTTTTTGCAGATGACTGTGTCGTGTTTGGGAAATCTGTCCTAAGGGAGTGTGACAAGCTCAGGGATATCTTGAACATCTATGCTAAGGAATCGTAGCAGCTCATCAATTTCTCTAAATCCGAGCTTTCGTTTAGTAAGAATGTGAGAATCAGCAGGAGGCTGGAGATCTGTGGTACTCTGGGTATAAAAGAAGTGGAAAAGCACTCCAAGTATCTTGGTTTGCCTACTATTGTGGGAAGATAAAAAAGGTTATTTTTTAGGAAATTAAAGAAAGGGTTTGAAAGAAACTTAAAGACTGGAAGTGCAGGACTATGTCACAAGCGGGAAAGGAGGTTCTCATTAAAGCCGTGGCCCAAGCTCAGTGTTTATACCCCATGTCTATTTTCTAGGTCGAGGAATGGATCGATAAAGCTGCCCCTGAGTGCCCCTTCTGCAATCTCCCGAAAACTCAAATGCATGCCCTCCGTGAATGTGACTGGGTTCGTAGACGCTGGAGAAACTATGATGAGATGGATCTCTTTGAGAAGGGAGAAGAGATTTCCTGTTTCGAATGGATTAAAGAGGTTTTTAAAAGCTTGCCCTGAAGACAGAATTCAAAGATTTAGCTCGATATTATGGTACTGTGGAAAGAACGATGTAATCACAAGTTCAACAACCGGAAGATCGATGAGGAGGAGATTATCCCTCGAGCCTTGGGTTGGCTCTCGTCTTTCCTTGCTGCTCATGCTACCCCTGATCCAAATTCTCTTGCAGGCCCGGTTCGTGCTCGCACTGTGCAGGATTGCCGCTGGTCCCCTCCTCCTAAGGGAGTTTTCAAGTTGAATTCTGACGCGGGAGTGATTCAAGATCGGGGAATTGGCTTGGGATGTGTCATCCGTGACTGGCGAGGAGCTTTTGTTGGGGTGATGGCGAAGAAGGAGAGGGATGTTTGTAGGTCGATTGATGCGGAAGCTAAAACTTTGGCGATGGGTTTAAGGGAAGCGAATCGCAGATCGCTCAACCCTCTTATTGTCGAAACTGATTGCCAGGTTCTTGCAAATCTGCTAAAGAAGGGGGAATAAGTTTTCACTGAGCTGGGTATCTGGTGCAACGAACTGAAGAGAATGGCGAAAGTGAATGAGGCGTTATCTGGATGTGAGGTTAGGTGGGAGTTTAAACCGAGAAAGGCTAACTCAGTGGCCCACTGGTTGGCTCATACTGGGTTGGGTTGGGATCAACAGATTGTTTGGGTTGAAAACCCTCCTTTGTCTCTTTGTTGTATGATTGAGGCCGATTTGGGCCAGGGTCTCTGACCGATTAATACAATTATCCAGATTTCCGATAAAAAAAAAAGAATAGAAACTCGCCCCAATCTCCTCGGCCCGACAAAAATCGTAGCCTTTTATTATGATTTTTAATTTTTTTTTAATTTGAATATGTTACAAGGTGGATAGGGATTGCAATAGGGTGGTCGGGCGGGTACATCAATACCCCCGCCTAGGGTTGTTAATGAGTCGAGTTATTTGTGAGCGGCTTGGTCTCGAACTCGATTAAAGCTCGCTCGATTAAAAAAAAGCTCGGCTCGTTAATAAACGAGACGAGCTTGAGCTCTACATTGTTCGCTTCGTGAAGCTCGTGAACTAGCTCAATTAGGTGGCTCGTTTAATACAACTCATGAACTGTCTCGTTTTGAGCTTATGAGATGTCCCAACATTGTGAGTAGAGAGCCAACTCGACTACAACTTATGAGGAAATCAATCTATATTTTATGAGTTGGTTTGTTAATGATGCATATAATTATTAGATTATATATATCACCTCATATGGTGTTTAATACGTTGAGTATATGCAAGCAAATACGTCTCATATATGACATAATATTAGGTAATCACATGTATATATGACATATAAATATTATGGTATTTATATAATAAGTTATCTTAGAGTTGAGCTCGAGCAGAACTTTCGATCTTAATGATGTGTCAAGATTTAATAAATGAGATGCCTCGTGTTCGACTCGACTCGGCTCGCTTGTAAACGAGCCGAACCTGAACAAGGCAAAGCTCGGCTAGGCTCATTAACAACCCTATCCATGCCCTTTCCACGCTACTGCGGGCGGGGCGGGTAATATCTGCGCAGGTACGGGGCGGGGCGGGTCAACCCACTCTTACATGTTATTTGAAAAAATACATGCAAAATTCTACTTTTTCGATAAAACGAAGGGGGAAACACTTTATGAATGAAAAATAGTGATAATATAATGGTCAAATGAGTCTAACTAGTTGAAAGATCAAGTCTAATTAGTTGAAGAAAAGTCAAAATATGATAAATATGAATATATACGGTAATAAATTGAGACATAACAGGCCAAGAATGGGTCGGGGCGAGGCAGAGTGAGTCGGAAGTAAATATCCACGCTAGTGCGAGTCGGGTAATACCCACCCGTCACAAGACAGTTGGGGTAAACTCCGACAAAGCAGATTCAAATTGTCATCACTAAAAATAGTACTATTAGAGGGGAAAACACTGTGGTTGAAAATCGAACACACAACCTGACAAAGGGAAGTGTGGTACTGTGCTCCGCTATTCTGAATCTTAATTAATTACTCTAATTGAATTAGCTTTAGTTTATTATAAAAAAAGGAATAGCTTTAGTTAGTAATATTCATCTGTTGTGCCTACTAGTGATGGCAATTTCAACCCGCCCCGCGGGTATTACCCGACCTGACCCGCGATGGGGCGGGTATTACCCGACCCGCAGTAGCGTGGGACGGGGCATGGGTATCTACTTCCGACCCGCCCTGCCCCGCCCCGCCCAGTTCTAGACTCATTTTATCTCAATTCCTTACAATATCTATACATATTTCTCCTATTTTGATTTTTCTTCAACTAGTTAGAGTCGATCTTTCAACTTGTTAGGGTCAATTATCCATTCTATTATCAATATTTTTCATTCTTAAAGTGTTTTTCCCTACGTTTTATTGTAAAATGTAAAATTTACTTGTATTTTTTTGAACAACATGTAAAAGTGGGTCAACCCGCCCCGCCCCGTACTCGCGCGGGTTTTACCCGCCCCGACCCGTAGTAGCATGGGGCGGGGCATGGGAATTGAGGTACCCGCCCCGCCCCGCCCCATTGCCATCACTAGTGCCTACCCTAAATAATGATGATCATATAATGTCCAAAAGATGATGAGATCCTCTCCTCTAGACTAAACTGAATACCAAACCAATCGGAAAACGGAAAAATGTTACAAATGGTCACTGGATTGTAGGATAACTAACAAATTCGTAAGACAACTTTAAATTTTAACAAATTTTTTGTTGGCGTTTTGAATAACATACTAAATAGCCGTTTTGTTTATATATTAAGATTTTGTCCGAGTAGTCCAACAATGTGTGAATTCGCATGTTTTAAGAATGAGATAAAATCGACCCTTAATAAGCAATTGAGTAAGTTGAGAAACGAATTATCATAACCTTAGGTAACGCTGGCGAAACTCGATCAAGTAATTAGTTTCATTTCAATAGATTATGAGTTAATAACAAGTTGTCTGGATTAGCTAAGTACGATCCATACATCCTCTCTATTATTAATTCAAACGAGTGGAAATGCTAATCCCGACCTTTCAGATGAGTAGGGTTGACAATCTCAAGAATATCATATGAAGTTGGATAGTGAGAGGCGACCATGTTAAATCATTCCATTGCAATCTTATGCTAAAATTCAAAGCCCGATAACCAATTTGTAAGTGCTCCTAAAGTTGAGTGACCGTTTCCGAAATTGTGCTCTTAATATAATCTGTGACCAATTATTCTTTCGTAAAGGTAACTGTCAAGAGTTGCTGTCTCCGTGGCACTTCCACATTAAACAAGTACCGGGCATGCTTGTCATTTGTCAAGTAGTAGAACCTGAATATTGCCGTCTTTCCCCTCAGAAGATCCTTTCCGCACAAATAAAATATGGTAACGCCTTGTTGTCTACACTCTCCGGACGGCATCTGCTTCTCCTTCTCCTCCTCGCTTCCTTCGTCTTCTTAACAGCAACCCGCAGAATTGAACCATTGAGTAACAGGGCAAGATGGTGGTAGCAGCAGTGGCAGAGCTTTGGAAGCACAATGAAGAGATCGTTACCCTTTTGAAGAACAACTACGACCTCCTGATTGCAGCTTTCCTAGCCGTAGCTGCAACTTTCCTCGTGTCAAAATCCTGGAGCAAAGGCGGCGCCCGGAGTATCGACGTCCCAGGCCGCCTCGGTCTGCCGTTCATCGGCGAAACCTTGGCCTTCCTGTCGGCCACCAACAGCTTCAAGGGGTGTTACGAGTTTGTCAACCTCAGACGGTCAAGGTGAGCTCGTTGACCGATTCTCCCTGGATATTATTCAGTCTTTCTGAAAACTTTCATTCTGATGCTGTTTTTTTGGTTGTGAAACAAAACAGGTATGGGAAGTGGTTCAAGACGAGGCTGTTCGGGAAGATCCACGTGTTCGTCCCGACGACAGAGGGAGCCAGGAAGATATTCACCAACGACTTCTCCTACTTCAACAAAGGTTACGTGAAATCCATGGCCGACTGCGTAGGACCAAAGAGCTTGCTCTCTGTTCCTCACGAGAGCCACAAGAGGATCAGGCGCCTGCTCTCCGACCCTTTCTCCATGCCTTCCCTCGCCACCTTCGTCGTCAAGTTCGACCAGCTGCTCTCCCAGAGGCTCGCGAGGCTGGCGCGAAATGGGGACAGCTTCAAGGTCCTCGAGTTCAGTATGCAGGTCGTCTGCAATCCGAACCACACCATACATCAAACTGAATTTAGTTGGAGTTCTGAAACATTGACAATTTGGAGCTCTTTCTCTTTCGGTCTATTTGGCAGATGACTTTTGATGCGATGTGTAGCATGCTGATGAGCGTTACGGAGGAATCCTTGCTGCGAGAGATTGAGAAGGATTGTACTGCTGTTTCGGAAGCGATGTTGTCTCTACCAGTCATGATTCCAGGAAGCAGATACTATAGAGGAATCAAGGTAATGTGCTTTACAGAAGATTTATTGTCCTGCAATGTTTGGGAAAGAACCTGAAACTGGCTTGTGGGAGGAGAAAACAGGCGAGAGAAAGGGTGATGGAGAGATTCAGCGGGATGATTGAGAGGAGACGGAGTGGAGTGGAGAGTCATGAAGATTTCTTGCAATCCATGTTGGCCAAGGATTCTTACCCGTCTACCGAAAAGCTGGAGGATGCGGAGATAATGGATAATCTGCTGACGCTGATAATTGCAGGGCAGACAACAACTGCTGCTGCCATGATGTGGAGTGTCAAGTTCCTGAATGACAACAGAGATGCTCAGGACCGCCTCAGGGTAACGAAAAACTCTGAAAAGATCGAACCTGTTCCTTCTTTCGTGGAAATTTTGATAAGAACAGTCTTCTTGAACGTTTGTATGTCGATTGTTGTTACAGGAAGAACAGTTGGCTATCACCAGGAAGAAAGCAGATGACTATGTCCTCAGCCTGGAAGACATCAACAGCATGTCCTATGGTCTGAAGGTATGTTCTCAAAACAAAACAAATCCTTAAGAACACTGGATTGCTTTAGAGGAAAAAAGTTCACTTCTGAGACTTGTAACTAACCAGGTCGTGAAAGAGACGCTGAGAATGTCAAATGTCCTGCTGTGGTTTCCCAGGGTTGCTCTGAATGACTGCACAGTCGATGGCAAGTTTTTCCCGCTCGATTACCGTAATAGAAACTCTTTCTCCATCTCTCTCTGTCTCTCATGGTGTCTTGGTTTGATCTTCTTCAGGAATTGAGATCAAGAAAGGATGGCATGTAAACATAGACGCGACATGCATTCATTACGACCCAGTTTTGTACAAGGATCCTCTGCAGTTCAACCCTTCCAGATTTGAAGTAAATAATGATGATCTCTCTAATTCTAGTTCTACCCTCCTCTAGTAGCGATTCAGGCTGCTATATTTCATATCCCACCAACTCGAAACCTGTATATCGTGTGCGAGCAGGAAATGCAGAAGTCATACAGTTTCATACCATTCGGGTCAGGACCTCGAACATGTTTGGGAATGAACATGGCCAAGGTGACACTCATGGTGTTCCTCCATCGCTTAGCCGGCGGGTACAAGTGAGTAGCACCCTAACTGGTCAAGATCTGGGAATTCTATGTGAAAGATTTACCTGATTTCCTGTTCTGGGAACTCGATGTGATGTGTTTCAGGTGGACCATGGATGATTTGGATCTCAGCCTGGAGAAGAAGTCCCATATTCCAAGACTCAGGAGCGGTTGTCCTATAACCTTAAAGGCCCTTTGAAACCGCAAGAAATGAAGCATAAGCTAGACATATGTACAAACAACAAAGCATCCAAAACAATGTCAGTTACAAAACACCTGTGTTTTATTGTGTGATGTAAGTTCATCAGTTTTCAGCTAAAAAAAATATGCACAAACAGCACACGAGCAAAAGCCGCAGTTCATTTGCAGTTCTTATTCAGTAAAAGTGTAAAACCATTAGAGAAAGGAGCAAAGGTTACTCGAAACAGCAGGTGACACTGGATGCTTTTACTTTTTTATGGCAATCGATTTATACTGCCGCATTGTGCTCGTTATAGCTTGTTCAACAGGGAGCCTCTCCATGCTCGATGCGCCATAGAACCCATGGACTCCATTAGTCCTCTTAAGCACAAACTCTGCTTCCTTGGGTCCAGATACTGGGCCTGGACAAGCAAAATTCAGAATTCGTGCGTTGGTAAGAAGTCAAAAAGAGATATAGAGAGCTTGCACATAAAGAAAGCAAAACAAGAAACATCCACCTCCATGGCAGAGCACAATAACAGCAGGGTTGATGTAGTGAGCAGCATCTGCAATAGCTTGAACACGATCTACACTTTCCTCGAGTGAGATGGCGGTTTTGGCACCGATGGACCCGGAAGTCGTTAGTCCCATATGAGCGACAATGATGTCAGCACCAGCTTTTGCCATGGCAGTGGATTCATTCGGGTTGAAAGCGTATGGTGTTGTCAAGAGACCCATTTTATGGGCCTTTCCAATCATCTTGACCTCAAGGCTGCCCCATAGGAAAAGAAGCAGAGTAACTAGTAAGCATAATTTAACCAATTACCAAAACAAAGAAGAAAACCAAAGGAGAGGGAAATTTGGTAGTGAAAGAAATACCTATATCCCATTCCCGTCTCTTCCAGATTTTGTCTAAAGTTGCCATCAAACAGGCCAACAGTTGGGAAATTTTGCACCCCATTGAATCCGATGGATTCCAGCCCCTTCAGGAAGTAATCCATTCTCCGGAAGGGATCAGTTCCACACACTCCAGCAAGCACTGGTACTCTTGTAACTACCTGCAACATTTTCGCAGTAGGTATTAGTAATAGCCAACTCCAGATGAATTTGCTCTTATTCATTTGTAAGACTTGGCTAGTGCTGCAACATTCTCGAAGGCACTATTCAAATCAAGAACAGAAGGTACGAAAAAAATCAGACAATCATTAACGGGTACTGACTCGCAATGGTTTCTCAGAACAGAATTATATAATTGCTGACTGTTTAGTTAAAAGAGCTTTAATGAACAACTGTTCCTCAAGAGGAAATGAGAATGCTTGTTAACTTACTGGTAAAACTTCATTTGCCATTTCCATCACAATGGCATTTGCATCAGCAAACGGTAACAAGCCTGCCAAAGAACCCCTTCCTGCCATTCGAAAGCGGCCCGAGTTGTACAAGACTATGAGGTCAACACCACCAGCTTCCTCAAACTTGGCAGATATCCCTGTTCCTGCACCAGCCCCAATTATAGGGAATCCTTGATCGATTTGACCTCTCAATTGCTGTAATATTGTGCTGGTCTTTTGCAACGTCTCTGGGACAGTATATGTGAGCAGAAATACATCAGTTAAACAAATTACACATTCTCCACCTTTTCGAAGTAAAAATCAAACTGCTTTCTGAATGATAAAGCTGCTCCAGTAACAGAGTCCACTGATCACCTGGTCTAGCATCAGGGTAGTTGCTTGGGCTGTATGGGATGGTTGCACATCTTGATGATTCTTCTACACTCCTGTTGCTTTGATCCTCGGAAGGTTTGGATGCTGTAGCTTCTGGAGGATTTGGATCCAGGGGATGTTTTGCACTGATCTCCAGAAATGCATTAACCAGGACATTGGCAAACTCAGGATCATTGATATTATAAGGAAACACCATCACCTGCAAGAAAGCTTGCAATTTGAGAACGTAACCTCCAGATGGAAAGATACAGTGGCTTCCAAAATTGAAAGCAAGAACAGAAAGGTGGCTGGAACCAGTTACCTGCCTATCCTCAGTCTTCTGGATCAGATGTTGTAGTTCATTCAGTAAAGTTGAAGTTGCATCTGGATCATAAAAGGGCTTCCCATGAGAGTCCAAAGCTGAGACGCCCTTTTCTGGCAGACAAACACGGATCTTGGCTGGTGATTTATTGAGTTTATCGGCAATGAATGCAGCAAATTTTTTATTTTCATCTGCTGTTGTTCTGATCAACGAAACCTGTAAGTGGAAAATGATGATTACAAGGGCACTAGCTTTGCTCCCTGGGTAGAAGAGGGAAGAAAAGGACAGAAGTTACAAAGGCATATTTAAGAGAAATCAAGGATTTAGATATACCAACATGCTTGAAACCATAGCTTACTTGACTCGATCTAAGCAGTTATTGTAACGAAGAACAACAGACCTCACTATTACTGATCTCATGGAAGCTTAGCTAACTAGCAGTTTACTGAAGAGTTCTTACCTGTTCGTTATGAACGTGAATTTTCCTTTGTTGGAAATGAGAAGGTATAGTATCCTTTGCTCCGAAATTAACCATGTCCAAGGCTCCTACACTCAAGACTAAAGGAATCTTCTTCTCTATCATGACATCAAAACGGGAACTATCACATGCCATAACACCCCCAACTATGTAATCCGCAACTTCTGTAGTAGTAATGTCCAGAACGCCCTAGGCAAAACCACAAGGTGAGAAACAAACTACAAACCCTGAAACACTAAAAAGGACAGCCAACGAACCTTTCTGAAAATTTCCACAGTAAGTTCAATACCTGTATAAACCCTTCTCTCACAAGATTCTCCATTGCCATGCCTCCAACGCCAGTGGCATGGAAAACCAACGTCTCATAACCTTCTTTTTCCAACCTTTGCTTAACAGCATCTACACATGGAGTTGTAACCCCAAACATGGTCATCCCAACAGTGGGTTTCGAACTCTCGCCAGAAGACCTCCCAGCCCTATCCAGCCTTCCAACAACCATTCCAGCAAAAGCAGCTCCGGCGTTGGATAAGACCGCCCTACTCACACTGTTAATCCCGCACACATCCACAACGGAAGGAAACAACACCAAATCGGAAGTCCCAATGTACGGTCCAGTCTGGCCACTGGCCACAGTAGACACAATCACCTTAGGCATTCCAATCGGAAGCGAGCGAAACGCAGAGGATATAAGAGAGGTCCCTCCACTACCTCCAATTCCGATAGCGCCGGTGAGTACACCACTTTCTTGCGCCTTCTTCAGGAAGCATTCAAGCGCTCTACTCATCACCGCGACAGCTTCAGCTCTGTCGTCGGGGAGTGGTACCGTCGATCCCTGCTCCGATGAAGCGAGAACGTCATTTCTGGATACGAAATTCGGATCACTGTCAGGAATTTTAGGTTCCATCCGACCGACGGAAACATCCACCGCCACAACTTCGACCTGCCGTTCCCCATGGAAGAAATTAGGTGAAGCGCAACTGCAAAAATCCCCAATAGCTCAGTCTGGAAAAGTGGAAAGACGTAGTACCTTATGAGAGGAGGGAGCATTGTTGGAGAAGCAGCGGAGATTGGAGCGGACGGAGTCGGACAGAAACTGGAGCTCGTCGAGCTTGGTATCGGCGGTTCCGACGCAGAAAACTCGCAGAATTGGATCGGCAGCTTCCATTCCAATCCCTTGTGCCTGGCGTCCCGAATTTGATTAAGGAGAAGTCAAGACAGTGAAGAGATTTAGATGGATTGAATTGAAGCAGCAACTTGGAGTGAGAAGGCGGGGAAAGAGTGAGATTCAGCAAATCCAAAGTGGGTCAGGAGATGCCGCGTGGGAGACAACAAGGAAGGATGACGTTGACTCTTTGCCCTCTCGGAGGGAGTTGTTGGAAGGGCACTATCCGTTATTTTGCTGGCACACAGTTTTTGTTAACCAAAGTGCTCAATAACAATTTATCCGACTCGAGAAAATTTCGTTCGATATTTGATTCGTTTTTAATTGAGCAGGCTCGCGAACAAAATTATTTATAAACTAGCCAAGCTCATGTTCAACTTGATAGGCTCGAGAACAAATTCAAAGGCCTTTAAGGGGTCGTTTGGATGCAGGATTCTAATGAGAGATTTTAAAACAATTCCTCATTATGCAGGATTTTAAAACAATCATGCGTTTGGATATACGAGAGATTCTGGGCATTAGGAATTTTAAAATCTCTCAAATGCAGGTTTTTAAAATAGCTTATGGGGATCAGCTATTTCGAAATACCTCATTTTTTCAGCTTTGTTCCAAACTTGTCCTTCTTCCAAACTTGTTCCAAACTAACACTCTTCCTTCTTCCCAGTTCATCATCATCTTCTCCATCGTCTTTCTCCGGCGAACTCAAGCTCCGCCCACCTTCTTCCGGCATCCAAGCAAAAACTCCTATACCGACATTGCCGCCTTCCCATCCCAATTCAGTGAACCCTTTCTTCTTCCCATCTCGTCCCCATCCTCTCCACCCTGTTTCTTCAGCGACGTCAAACTCTGACCCAGCTTCTTCCTTCCTCTTACTTCTTCAGAGAAGATGGTGTGCCTCGTTCACCCGACTCTCGCAGCCCCCATCTACTAAGTCGTCGCTCGCCAACTGCCCATTAGAAGACAAATCACCGGCGTCGAGTAGTTCTTTGTTCGAAGTCGGCGATTGTAGATCTGCAAAAAAAAAAAAAAAAAAATTTGCTCTGCAATTGAAGCCCGGCACTTTCGGATTGTATGTTACGGGTCGATTTGGGGATTTTCCCTTTGCTGCAAAAGTTGGCACAACAGCGAAAGACTTAGAGCAGCCAGAAGCCGAGACGAAGGAACGGAGAAGAAGAAGAAGAAGAAGAAGAAGAAGAAGAAGAGAGAGAGAGAGAGAGAGAGAGAGAGAGAGGTAATCGTGTAATTGGGATTCTATGGGCTAAAATCCTGATCCATTCCCAAACGCAGAATTGTACTAAATCCCACGTTTTAAATTCCTAGGGTTTTGGTTGAGAGATTTGGGTCTTAAATCCCTCATTTTAAAATACCTAATCCAAACGGTGCCTAAGTCTTTGTTGTTTGTGTTTTGTGAGCCAAGTTCGAGCTCGAGATTGATCTACCATCGATATTTTATCAGTTGAACTAGATTTTTGCTCATTAAACTCATTTGGCGATCCGAACTCGAGTCCAATTCGAGCTTCTATTTTTGTAAACGAGTCGAGTTCGAGCTTGCCTATTAAAGTTCGTGTCGAACTCGAGCTCACCTCGAGTTTGAAGTTATTTTAATGAGTTGATCCCGAACCATGTCATAGCTCGACTCGGATCATTAACAACTCTATTAAATACCCTCCTTTATCGGTCGACAACACATCCGGTGTGAGCTCTTAAACCCACAAATGCACTCTAAGCCACCCGCAATCCACTCATCCATTATGATATGGTTCCTATTGTAAAGTATGTGACATTAAAAATTGAGTAGATTCGGTTGACACACGATCCATCTAACTTTATAACCTCAAATCAACGAATTTCTAACTTAAAGTTCTATGTAGTCCAATCGACCTCATAGGACCGAGAATGTCAGGCACATTCTGAAATCTGACAAAGTACCATAGAAATTTTTACACTATATCGACAATCATAGTAGGAAGAAACCATATATTCTTAGAAGCTTAATCAATAGAAAACACAATAAACCCACCTCATAATAGTTCACACATATCTCAAATCCAAAACCTTAACAGTTTAATCTCAATCCGCTATCATAGTTGCTTTAAACCAACTTGTCATATAAGCTTAATAGATCACACCAAAATAAATAAAAAGCATAATGTAATTCATGGATGTCCTTGATATCTCTCTTCTCACTCACCTTGATTATCCCAATTCGTGATGCTAAAATTATGATGCTCGAATGTGTTAGGATACATGTATCTTCCATTGAAAGAACGAAATCCGTCCCGCATCTAAGTTACACTCCCCTGAAGACAGTGCTCATTTGGATGGATATTTGCCTCACTATGCATTGTCATATTTCTAGTCCATGTGTTTTTTCTTCATGCTCAACATTTTGAGCACCATCGTCCATGTTTGTTTCTTCATGCTCGAAATTTTGAGTACCATCGTCCATGTTTGTTACTTCATTATCCATCCTGTAAAATCATAATCAGAATCTTATATCAATATGCAAAAGGAAGTCAAGCAATTAGAAACAAAAAGGACCATATACTAAAAGTTGATGTTAGGTCGACCATTTTTACGCTCGACCACTTGAACCATTAGGCCGACTGCTTGTTGAATGTAGCAAAATGAAAAATAGTGTATCTGATCTACCGCATATGCTTATTTGTCCACCGTTTTGTCCAAGTAACGTTGACTTGTTTGTCACCCTAGCTAAGTCCAAAATTATGGTTACTTATAACTTATGTATATTTTCGTAAAATATAAAAAAGATATTTGATAGCCAAAATACTATTATTTGTTTGATAAACATATACATTAGAAAGAAGGGAGTGCTTGATAGCCAAATTATAAAATATTATAGTTCATTTTTCAAAGTCGATTGATTATAAAAAAAATATAATTACTAATGTGTGCGTTTGATTAAACTTTTCGTCAAAATGAACTTATTATTCGGTTTTAGTAAAAAAGAACACAAATATGACTTGATAATGTTTATTCAATAATTTCTTTCTTTAAACAAACACGATATATGTCACTCTCCAGAAATTGGTCTATTGTTCCATAGATACATATAATGCAAAAGTAAAAGCAAACAAAAATTATCGAATAAAATAAAAAGAAAAATATTAAAAGAAGAGAAAGATAGTTGCATAAATATATCATTAACTAAATATTTTGTTTGTTGTTGTATTGTAATCGAATTTTTTGTTCGTATTTGATTTTTGCATTCTTTCTTATCTCTTTCTTGCCGATCTATTTGTTCGTATTTGCCTATTTGATTTTACATCTTTAGTCATATCTCTTGCTCGAGGTAAAATAGAAAAATCACGGATAAATCTTCTAACATGGGTTACCATTCTTTAAACGTGCTTTTTGTTGTTGTGTTGAAATAGACCTTTTTATTCGTATTTAGTTTTGAATTCTTACTTATCTCTTTTTTCACTCTCCATTTTAATGGTGAAAGTGGCATCGAAACCACGGAATCAAATGCTAAATTATTCTGTTTTTTTCCTTCTCTTTCTTATTTTCTATTTCAAATGCAGAAACTTCATAAATTCTATAATTAACCGTATTTGAGTTCCAAATATGTAAATTGTCATATGCTAATTTGTAACTTCACTAGCCACCGAGTGCATATTACTACAAATTCTCTCCCATAGGGGGTGAACATATCAATCAGGAAACCAACCCAACCCGCCAACCCGAACTGACCCACCCGCAGAACCCATGGGTTACAAAATATCTGGGTCGATAAGGGTTTGTTATTGTGACCCAATGATGTTCTGGGCTAGGTCCAGTTTTTAGGTGTTCAAACCCGGATAAATCTGAATCACTAATGCACAGACTTAATTATAATATGTAATTATCACGTGTGCTGACATAGTTTATTTATTATGCAATTGTTTTTTCAGATGGGGGGTGAGGTTCCAAATACAAATGTTGAAGGTCAAGATGTAATGGCCAAGTTTGGAAGTCAGGTTCAACCTCTTTTTGTTGTTGCCGACAAAGTTTCACCTCCAAATCAAAGAAACCAAAGTGGTATTACCATACCTACTGCAACTAATCATCTCTTCCAAAATCCGATTTTGTGCAATGAACGGTGCCACACACGTTGGGCTTAGCCTGTGTTTAAGATGTCAGATTATTGCCATGGGAGACCAACTACGTTTCTTTAAGTACACTGAGCACCTTCTCATGATACAAAAGTCCAAACACAACGGAAGTCATCCATATCACATGAATCAAAGGTCCTAAAGCCACTAGTTCACACAATCAACCGACACAACAAGGAGACAGATAGGAAAAATCTTATACTTCAACATCCTCCATAGTGCTACAAATACCTCCCTAGGTTGCATAGTACTATAAAGGCTGTCAATTCAAAGCATAATGAGCATGAAATTGCAAGGAACACGTACTTGGAGCCCTCAAATTTAAAAATTCGGACAGTGGACTAGGCTCTAAGCACACACATACAGCCAAACTTTCACACGCATATATAATCGAACACCCCCCACACTTAAGCACGACATTGTCCTCAATGTAGGAAAGATAAGGAGGGTAGAATGAAGTTACCAGATAAAGTGTGAATGATGGTGGACGGGGTAGGTGGTGCATTCCAGGAGGAGAGAGTAGTCGGAACACAAACACCAAACAAAATCTCACAAAAGTTGAGTTATGGAATCTAAAATCAAAGATCAAAACTGACTCAACCGAGGAGAAATAGGGAAAGAAATGCAAACCGACTGGTTGGATTGCCTCTCAACAAGCGCTTCTTTCACGTGATGAGCCGGACGATGGCTCCTAAGTTTCGGTCCACCCCAGAACCTTTTTGACGTTGAGGTTCTCGTCGATGAGGTGGAGTCTCAAGTCACAAGCATGTGGTGTGGCAGGTGATGAAGTCTCATGCACTTGATGCAGATGACGTCTCCACCCTCGAGACCTCTTCTTCTCTTCTCTCGTCTCATTGCCCCAAACTAGATATGACAACATCTATTGGCCAACATCACGTCCACCAAGAGGGACCGATGACGATGTGGCCTTGGTTTGGCAAAGAGACACTGCAAATGGGTCCTTGCTAAGCAATTCCTCAAAGTTTGGTGGAGATATCACATGTAACTCATGGTCGGTCCAAGCCTATTCCACCTCAACTTCATCCTCGGCCTGGACGCCAATTGCTTTTTCAACCTCCCTTCCTTCTTCAAAATGTGGTATCACTC